CACACACACACACACACACACACACACACACACACACACACACACACACACACAGAGACAGTCTCCTTGGAATTTCCTGGCGTCCTCACAGTTCAGGGAATCCCCGTCTAACAAACACACTCAGTGTGGACGTCTGCAGGTCCAGTTTCACCAACTCAGATCCTCCGATAGAGACCTGGAGGACAATCAGAGCAGAACAACAATGCTCCACCGGGAACCAGATCCACTATGGACCCAAAGAACCACAGTCCAGTTCAGATCTGATTGTGTGAGTGGGCAATAATTTGGGCAAATGATGTAGAAACCACTGAGAATTATAAAACTAATTTTTAAGCTGCTGAATGAATAAGATGCTTTAGGTGTTTTTATTTGTTCTAATTTTCAATCCAGAAGTCAAACAAATAAGTTTTTTATTTAAAATGTAATAAATAGTGAGACATGAAGTCAGTATTTCTTCAGAATCAGAGTTGTAAAGTAACTAAGTACAAATACTTTGTTACTGTACTTAGGTAGAAATTTTGGTTATCTGTACTTTACTTGAGTAATTATTTTTCAGCATACTTTTTACTTTTACTCATTACATTTTTACACAGTTATCTGTACTTTCTACTCACTACATTTTTTAAAAAGGTAAGAAGTAAAAAGTCATAAAATAGGAGTAMTCCTATTTTATTCTGAGTTGTTATTACTTAAAAAAAATACTATCCTGATAAATTGTCTCTTGGATAGTGTGAATTTAATTGTGGTTGGATAAGAAGTATAAATATATACCATTCTGACACCCTATATGCTTGTACACAACCCATCACAGCTGAACGCCGTTAGAAAAAAAATGTTTTGGAGAAGTCACCTCCCAATAAATCTCATTTTGGAAAATCTAACCACTTATTTTTACTCAGTATTTTTTACTTTTAATACTTAAGTAGATTTTGTGTCAGAAATTAACTTTTGATATTTAAGTACAAAAAATAGCAGATACTTCAAGACTTTTACTCAAGTAATATTTTTAGAGAAGACTTTAACTTTTACCAAAGTATTTTATGACAAGATACTTGTGCTTTTACTCAAGTATCACCTTGAGGTACTTTATACACTGTTCAGAATAATAGATGTGACAAGCATAGCAAAAGCTCTAAAGCACTAATCAGGAAATTATTTCCCCTACTAGTGCTTTAGTGCTTTAGGGCAGTGGTTCCCAAACTTTTTGTCTTCTGACCCACAAAATATCCACGRCAAAAACATGTGACTCCAAATATTACTGGTCTGAGTACATGAACTTTGTTAATAAACCTAAAAACACAGGCTTTTTGACAATCTAAGCAGCTTATACACAAATATAAATACTTATTTTTACTTATTTTGTGTTTTGTAATAATTATAGGGAAACTATTACATCAGCAATTATTTTATTACCCTTTAAATTGATTTCTGGAGATTATCCAAGGTGCTTCATGACCCATAATTGGGTCCCAAGTCCAACTTTGGGAACCAAAGTGCAGTGGTTCCCAAACTTTTCAGCTTTTGACCCACAAAATAGCAGCAGAGACCTGAGCCCCCAACTATTTCTGGATGATAAACATTTGTATCAGGTTAACTAAACATGGGCATAGTAACAATATTTTTATACTACATTTATCCATTTTAAATACACTAATCTCACTCATTTGTAACAACTAAGGCAAAAATGTAATTAATTCCGAAAATCTTTTCAGGACCCCACCTTGACGCTTCGGGACCCCACTTTGGGTCCCGACCCCAACTTTGGGAAACACTGCTTTAGGGGAACTGTGCCCACTGTCAGAAAGTAATCAATAAACAAAACTGATTGGCTTTTAAATTCAGCCCAATTTACGATGACAACCCCAGCTAATCGACCTTAGACAACACAAAATAAAATCAATATTATGTAACGTGTACTGTAAAAACAACAAAAATTGACCAAACTGTTTGCAGATTTACTCATTATATTATTTTTTGTTTACTCAAATTAGAAAGAGAAACAACAAGAAGGACAAAGAAATACAAGAGATCTCGAGTTATTAAGGAAGCACAAGAAAGTTCAAGATAAAAGACAAAAACACAACATAAAAAACAAATATCTAAATAGCTCAAATTGGTTTTAAACCGTATCTAATGCTTTGGTAAAGATTTGCTTTTTGTGTTTAAATAAGCTGATTAAGGATATAAAAAACTAAGGTACTGCAAAAGTTGCCCACCGAACCAATTCTTACTTTTATATCCAGCCAAAAAGTATTTTCGATTTGGTTTTGAGACTGAAAAACGAAGAAAGAGCAGAATGTGTTGCCTTGAAATGTGTTCAAGATTTATCAAGCGCAATTACCWCTCAGCATTAATTTTACTTCATTTGAGATTGAGACTATAATCTAGTTTTAGATGGCTAATTTTAGCAGTTTTACGCTCAGTCAAAAAACTAAAAGGTTGGTCAGTTTGGAAGCACAATTGTGTAACTCAAGTGGAAATGTTCGGGTCTGCAGCCGTAATGGAAAAGCAGGTAAAATGCATTCTGTCCCTGGAGATTCCCACCTTCCATTCCAAACACACACATAGTGATAATGGTAGGCAAGGGGGTTTACAGGGGGCAGTGTGTAGGTAAAAGTTTTTTTTTCTTTTTTTTTCTTGCAGGGGTTGTGTGGTATTTGTGTATCAAAGCCTCTTCTGTCTGAAAACGTCTTTCTGTGTAAACGGAGAGTTGACTGAACAGCAGAGGAAGCTTTTTAAAGCAGCACAGCTTCATTCAGCCAACGCAGCAGCTTTGAAACACTGTAAGGTCAGATTTACATGTTTATAGAGCTTCCATCCATTAATCAGTCCATCCATTCTTCCATCCATCCATCTCTCCATCCTCTGTCTGTTTGGGGACGTCCCGCAGGAGGACACATGGACCTCCACAGAGGATGACCGTATGAAACATTTTGATGTGAAAACAAGGTTTTATCTAAGACAGCTGAGTGTTAGCTGTTAGAAAAACAAAAATACCAAACTTTATAAGGTTGACAAACTTTACATGGCGCTTTGCTTCATTTCCATCCAAATTTTGTCTTACATCATTGTCACCACATTGATATGTTCTTCTCTGCCTCAGCTGATGTTTTCTGAAGGAGAAAAGGAACAAAAAGGCTGTTAATGGGAATTATCTGAGTTCTAGTACAATAACCATTAAAAGAAACCATTTTCTCCAATGCGTTGTGCTTTATTTCCTGTTTAGATGTGAGGTCAGAGGTTAAACTATAAGTTGATGTGTCTCAAAACAAAAAAGTGTCCATCTCGGTGAGGAGGTGGAGGTCCTATAGGATGTTTTTGGCTCTTTTCATTAAACTTAGGAATTTGAACTTTTATTAGTTTTTCTGGATTCTGGCAAGCCGATCTTAAAAGCGAGCCGGTGGAGGTCCAGCCGGTCGTCGGTTCAGCCTCGGCGTCTGCCAGCAGGGTAATAACTCTCATCTCTCAGATCGCCATCAGCAGGATGAATTACAGACATACCAGACGGGATCACTGCATGAAACTGATCCGGGATCAGCTGATATGAAACTGAATCTCACTGTGTCTGTCCGCATCTACTCATCCAGTCTAACCGCGGTCCCAAAGATCCAAAACAATCGGGCCTCTTTTACAGCAACCTCCCTGTCTCCTGACGTCTGGCAATGGTTGATGTTCATTCTCAGGTCAAACAATTCTGCATAAGCCACTCTGCGGTAATTCCCCCCACTTTTCCAGCCTGATGGTCCTTTTAACAGAAGTTTTTTTTTTTGAAAGAAAAATGGTCTCTGTCTGTAACTGCTGCCACACTTTGTCATTTCAGTCACAAACTCTGGTCAAACAGCAGCTGAAATTAAACTGAAATTTTAGTAATCTTGCTGCTACACCTATTCTGTACACTTTTTTGTTAGTTTTAATGCTGTTAATTTGATTGGTCTTAATTAATTCAACTGATCATTTGGAACTTTAGAACATTTGTATTTCTTTATATGAGATTCTTGGGAAWAAAGTTTGATTGTATACCCTTAGAAAGAGTTCCATGTTTAAATCTTTAGTGGCCCATCCTGGCCTCCTCTTGGCTCCATTGTGTTAAAAGCAAATCAAAGAACATGATCCTCACACTGCTTGCACCTTTATTCAGATGGGAGCAGGCTATAATGGACTTTCTTAACATAAAGTTCCAGTTTTTCTACAATGTGGACAGAGAGGGAGAAGATTTTTAAGGTTCTGGACCAACTCAAGCTTAAAACAAAAAGCTCAGCTGAGATTAAAACTGTGCTCTTTAGTTTCAACATTAAAGGCCACTTCCTGATTGATGGAGGCTGAGAAGGTCTCGGTTTCTCTTGATGTTTGAGGAGAATGTGTTGAGGTACAGGTTCAAAGGTTGCTTCAACCAGCTTTTGATTTTATTCTGTAATAAAAAATAATAACACACAAAATAGAACAAATCAAACGATCCAGTAAAGTTAAAAGCATAAACTTTCTGGCCGAGGGGCTTTTTACTTAAAAAAAATCTCATGCATAAGTGATTTACAGCGCCATCTGCTGGAGCTTCAGGCTCACTTCACATTTTGTGATGAAAGAAGACGAACATTACTACAAAACGGACAYTATTTAAAAATATAACATAATTTTAACATGATAAATTTTTATCTTTGTTTTTCTAGTTAAATTTTTTGTGAAACGATTTTCCATAAAATAATGTCGCTGATAAAGTTTTACATTTCTTCCCTTTTTTTAATTAGTGCAACCCTAATATTTAATTATGTTAGGTAAGAAAAAGCTAAGCAACTTCCCTCGGCCCCACCACATATTTGTGTTTGTTACTGATTTTTGTTGATGTTTTTTGTTTACATCCGCCACTTTTTGTCGCAGAAATATGACGTAACACACACGGGAACTACGCAGGACGCGCGCGCGTTGACTGCATAATTGTGAGTAGCTCTGTCGTCTTTTAAAAAATAAATACTTTGAGCTTGTGTATGTTACTTCAACAAGTTCACCTGTGTTTTCTGACAGTTTATTTCCAGGCAGTGGTCCTTGTTTATTTCCGACAGAACACAGTAATGTTTCATTAGGCTTAAAGAGCTAATCGTTGTTAGCTTGCTAACCACTCGTTTTGGGATTAGCAGCGGTTTTGAATTAACCTAAGTAGCTCATCAAAAGCTCCCCTTAACTACTGAATATAGACCAGTGCAAATGACTAAATTGGGAAATCTAAACCTAAAAATAATAATAATAATAATAATAATTGAACTACAATATCTTAGGTATCTGAAGTTTCTCCAAAAAAGGGCTCCGTTTCCGGACACTGGCTGATGAGAGAATAATTTGCCTTTTTGCTTTTACATTTAGGAAACACAGAAAAGCGTATTTCTGGACGTGGGTTTATGATAAATCTGAGGTGAAAGAAATTGCGATTCAACTCCAGAAAGTGCYAATTTAGTTAAATAAAACTCGACCATTGCAGTCTTTCCTTAACAAAATTACTTTCTTTTTAGTTCACATCATTGTCTGAAGCTGCCCATTTTATTYACACACGTCTGAGACAACACTACAACACAAAAATACTAAAGCACCGTTCTGATTTGGTGTTTCCTGCTTCTATGATGTACTTATTTTACATCACTAACAATATTTACTTACCAGTAAATGTTATAAAGCTTTGAAGAGATAAGTGAAAAATAATTAGGCTGCCTTGTGAATAAAGTGTGGTGAAACATTTTTGTTGTTCAGTCAGTTTACATTTAAAAAAATGTACGCTGCACAGAAACACAAACTGTCAAGTCAATAATAAAACACCCCAAAAACAAACAGCTCATCAGCTGACACTGAGTTGGTTGGAGAAACAACAGCAGAGGGTCTGAGAGAACTCAACAGCTTCACAAGTTAAAATAAAAAAGTTGTGATTCAAACAAAATTGAGTGCATTTTTATTTTTCTCAGTATATTTTTCCTCTGTCCTTATTTGACTAAAGCAATGGAGCAGGGAGGAGAGAAACCTGAAGGAGCAGAAGCAACTCCTTCAGGARAACGAGGACCAGATCAGTCACGGAAGAGGAGGCTTGACGATGAAGAGGAGGAAACATCACCCGCTAAGAAGCTGGTAGACCTGTTTATTATCATTTTACCATAATGTACAGCGGGTAAAATAAGTATTGAACACGTCACCATTTTTCTCACTAAATATTACTAGAGGTGCTAATGACATGCTAATAAAATCACATGCATGCTAAAATCACATGCTAATTACTCTCTCAGTAATTAGAAARCAAGCCTGCCCCTTGTCAGTGCAAGTTAATATCAGCTGGTTCAGACCCAAATGATGGCCAGGTATCACACAAGAACCATCTGATGATGGGTAAAAGTAAAGAGCTCTCTCAAGACCTTCAMAACCTTATTGTTGCAAAGCATAATGATGGCATCGGTTACAGAAGAATGTCTAAACTTCTGAAGGTTCCAGTGAGCACTGTTGGGGCCATAATTCAGAAGTGGAAAGAACATTATTTCACCATAAACCGACCACGACCAGGTGCTCCTCACAAGATTTCTGACAGAGGAGTGAAAAGAATTATCAGAAGAGTTGTCCAAGAGCCAAGGACCACTTGTGGAGAGCTTCAGAAAGACCTGGAATTAGCAGGTACGATTGTTTCAAAGAAAATAATAAGTAATGCACTGAACCACCATGGCCTGTATGTACGCTCACCACGCAAGACTCCACTGCTGAAGAAACAGCATGTTGAAGCTCCTTTAAAGTTTGCTGCACAACATTTARACAAGCCTGTGTAATACTGGGAGAATATAGTCTGGTCAGATGAGACCAACATTGAACTGTTTGGATGCCAGAATACACATCATGTTTGGAGGTCAAATGGCACTGCACATCAGCCCAACAACACCATACCAACAGTGAAGTTTGGAGGTGGGAACATCATGGTGTGGGGCTGTTTTTCAGCATATGGTACTGGCAAACTTCAAATAATTGAAGGAAGGATGAGTGGAAAAATGTACAGAGACATCCTTGATAAAAATCTGCTTCCATCTACCAGGATGATGAAGATGAAACGTGGCTGGACATTTCAGCAAGACAATGAGCCCAAACACAAAGCCAAGGAAACTCTCAGTTGGTTTCAGAGAAAGAAACTAAAGCTGCTGGAATGGCCCAGCCAATCACCTGACCTGAATCCAACAGAAAATCTATGGAAAGAACTAAAGATYAGAGTTCATAGAAGAGGTCCACGAAACCTTCAAGATTTGAAGACTGTTTGTGTGGAAGAATGGGCCAAAATCACACCTGAGCAATGCATGCCACTAGTTTCTCCATACAGGAGGCGTCTTGAAGCTGTCATTGACAACAAAGGCTTTTGTACAAAGTATTAGATAAATTTCAGTAAGTGTGTTCAATACTTTTTCCCTGTGCCATTYCACATTATTACAAATAACTTCATTTCTGGACATTTATGGTTTGATTTCTTTGTATGTATRGATCACTTGGGTTGTTACCRACATCTGGTGAAAATTTCATGTCATTAGCACCTCTAGTAATAYATTTACTGAGAAAAATRGTGACGTGTTCAATACTTATTTTACCTGCYGTATATGTATGCGCATCAGGAGACCTGTTGTCTTTAATATGTTCAGAGGWTATTGACACATTATTGATCACTCAGGTGACTGATCACAGTGTTGAGGTGGCGAGTCACTACAACAGGCAGAAGGAAATTGGTCTAGAGGGTCGAAGCCAAAGCAGGATCCTGTTTATGAGGAACTTTAACAACTGGATGAAAAGTGTTTTAATAGGTAACTGATCACCAATCAATAATGCTAATCCAGTACACAACACTCCAGTTTCTGTTACTACTCTTAACTTTTTATTGTGCATTAAAATCTTGTTCTTCCATCACTGATTGACAGGTGAGATCCTAGACAAGACACGTGAAGCAGGTAACAGGGACTTGTCAGTTTTGGACCTCGGCTGTGGGAAAGGAGGAGACCTGCTGAAGTGGAGAAAAGGAGGAATCAGTCACCTCGTTTGTACAGGTGAGCAGGTCCTCAGATTTTTATTTTCTATATTTTCTCCCAATGGGGCGCCAGGAAAATCAAGTATTTGTTGTAGATGAGGACGTCTCGTTGGATTACACTCCCTGATCATGATTTTAGGTCAAATTGCAAAAATTTAACTTCAGTTACTGACCAGACAAACTATAATTAGGAGCTACAAGAAGATGCTGCTTGAAAAAATTAGAATAAAGTATTCATACTGAGATATTGCAAGAAGTATGGCAAGCAGATTTATCATATAATAGTAGGGTCTGTGCCCATGCCTGTTGTTCACCTCGGGGCTCGAAATGCCTAAATCYTTCTCTGTGTTTATGTTTTGTTTTCAGATATAGCCGCCGTGTCGGTGGAGCAGTGCCAGAGTCGTTACGAAAGCATGAAACAGAAAAGTTACCCGAACGAGAAAATCTTCCGCGCTCAGTTCATCACTGCAGACGCTTCAAAGGTAGATCACTTCATCAGGGCTCTGGCCTGTCTTTAGATTAGAGGCACTGTAACGTAGAAGAGTCGTTTTATAATCTCTCTGAATGACCTGTCAATGCAGGAGGTTCTGTCAGAGAAGCTGGACGACCCTGAGCTGGAGTTCGACATCTGCAGCTGTCAGTTTGTGTATCACTACTCGTTCGAGAGCGAGCAGAAGGCAGACATGATGCTGAGGAATGCCTGCGAGCGTCTGAAGCCCGGAGGCTTTTTCATTGGAACCACGCCAGACGCTTACGAGCTCGTGTAAGGACAGAAATTCCTCCTCCTCACTTCCTTCTGAATACTAAAGAGAACTAAAAGTTATTTTTAGAAACTACACTGCAAAAACTGTCCACCTAACCAAGTTTTAAAATCTTATATCCAGCCAAAAAGTCTTTTTTGATCTTGTTTTGAGACTGATTTACTAAACAAGAACTGATTGTGTAAGAAGAATAATCTTGTTTTCAGAAGATTTGTCTTGTTCGTCTGAAAATTTGACTCAAATTTAGTCAAAAATTTCTGCCAGTGGAGTAAGAAAATTTTACTTGGTAAGATTCTTGAAATATGAAAAAATTGAGTCAAATCATTTATTTCAAGGATCTTACTAAGTAAAATTTTCTTACTCCACTGGCAGAAATTTTTGACTTAATTTGAGTCAAATTTTCAGACGAACTATGAAAACAAGATTGTTATTCTTACACAATCAGTTCTTGTTTAGTAAATCAGTCTCAAAACAAGATCAAAAAGACTTTTTGGCTGATATAAGATTTTAAAACTTGGTTAGGTGGACAGTTTTTGCAGTGTGGTTTCACTTGATAAAAAAATGCAAACTACATGCTTGACGAGTCTTTAGGAGAACTTTATGTAAACAATCGATTTATTTTTAGCATTGCCTTTTGTTCTCYTCAGTAAACGTCTGGAGGCGTCGGACTCGCTCTCGTTTGGGAACGAAGTCTTTAAAGTTTCCTTCCAGTCCAAAGGTCCGTACCCTCTGTTCGGATGTCAGTATCACTTCAGCCTCGAAGGCGTCGTCGACGTCCCAGAGTTTCTCGTCTACTTTCCCCTTCTTGAGCAGTAAGATTCGACTGAACGCGATCCTCGTCGACATTTCGGAGCAGAATTTAAGCAGAGTTTGTGTTTCTTGTGTCAGCATGGCGAAGCGTTACAACATGCGTCTCGTGCTGAAGCAGAGGTTTTTGGAGTTCTTCGAGGAAAAAGTAAAAAAGGAGCATCATCGCAGCCTCATGATGAAGATGGCGGCTCTGGAGGTAAAACTTGGAGCTTTTGATGAGTTACAAAAATTGATTTTGTTCAAAGAAATACCCAATTAGTTTTTTAAAAATTGGTGTTAGCAAGGCCAAATCGTCAGATTTTACTCGTCAATCATCACTTTTTTATTTTCTGTAAAGATAAAGTTGTGTATTCAGGCCATCGGGTGGCGTTTGTTTGTTTGCACTAAAACAAGTCTGATGTGTTTCAGCCATTTCCCTGCGAAGCCGGAAGCCGACAGGCGACAGAAAGCGCAGGAGAGTACTCCCATGCTAAAGAGTACTGCGGCAGAGCCGGAGTGAGACCACCAGTGGTGAGACGGCCTCAGATCATCTGCGTTCTTGTTGTTGTTGTGTTGTTGTTTGGTTTAAAACAGTCTGTTCGTGTGCAGGGAACTCTGAGCAGATCTGAGTGGGAGGCGGCCAGTAAGTTTGTCTTTATTCTAAATTTGGTGAAAGTTTATTTGATGTTTTTAGATCAATCCTCAGATAAATATTGAATAAATAACTGATAAACGTTGCTGATTAATTAACCCTTTTTTGTTCTGTTCAGGTATCTACCTGGTGTTTGTCTTCCAGAAAATATCCTGATGCTTGAACTGAACTCCTCTCGATGCTTACCTCACTCATCTCCTCACTTTGTGTTTGTACAGTTTTCACTTGTACTGTTAGTTTTTTTTTTTATTATAAACCATGAACTGAATTAAGCTTTTTAGATTCAATGTTATTTGTTGTGCTTTAAGTTTTAGTTATTTTTTTCCATCTGTATTAGTTAAAAAGTCACGAGGATCAGATTTATAGGACGACTCGTGGGTTTATAAACTGGTCTGATACGGGTTGTTTGAAGATGTGGCAGAATTTTTGGGTGCTTCATTTTTTGTGCTTTGTCTAAAAAAGAAAAACCAAAACACACTCATAAAACATGAAATAAAGATATAACTGTCTTCCTGTGGGTACGTTTGTTCTTTTTTATGAGAATCATCTTTTCATTCCTTGTTACCAAACCAGGATTAAATAAACCAGGATTGTATTGTATCTATAATTAAAATGACTTTAGAATTAAAAACAAGCAAAAACTGCATCTAATTAACCAACTTACATTTATATTTTATATTTATAAGCAGCTTTATGGTTATTAGTAAAATATATGATTTCTCCTGGAGAATACTGTGTTGTTACTATAATTAAAATGACTTTAGAATTAAAAACAAGCAAAAACTGCATCTAATTAACCAACTTACATTTATATTTTATATTTATAAGCAGCTTTATG